CGAACTGAACTCTCATCTGTTTCCCCAACGACACTAAGAAAGTTTTCTTCATGATCTCTCATTTACGCGAAACACCTCTTCTCGCCGTTCAACCCGATCTTGCTAAACGACCTCTTCCTGACTACCTTGTGGAGTATGATCAATTCGTTAAATATCTCAAGACGAACTTTGGTGACCCGGATGAAGAAGGAACCGCAGCCCGATTGCTTAACGATCTAAGGCAGACTGGGTCAGCTTCGGAGTACTTCTCCGCCTTTCAACGACATGTGGCGATACTCAAGTGGTCTGATGACGGAAACCTGGTTGACCGAGCCAAGAAAGGGTTGAAACCACACCTCCTAGATGAAATTGCTAGACATGGTAAATCTTTTGGGACGGTCAAGGAGTTATTGGAGTTTGTTATTCCCATGGACAACAGGTTGTGGAGAAGGAAAGTGGAGAAGGATTCGGAGAAGAAGAAGGAGACGGGGGTAAAAGAAGTGTTAGTTGTGGATGGCCAGAGGATGGAGAGAAAAGAGGAGAAAAGAGGGGAAGGGAGGCAAACTTCGGCGCAGTCTGCGGTACAAGGGACTATTACGTCGACGCAGGTCAAGAACATTCCGTCCAATGCCGACGAACTTCGCCGACAATGGCCTAGGCCACCTCCCGATCTGCGGGAGGCAAGGAGGAAGGAAGGGAAGTGTATTGAGTGCGGGGAGAAGGGACATTGGTTGAGGGACTGCCCGGTGAGGGCAGCGAAGGTCAAGGTCGGATGGTTGCCGCCGTGGGGGGAGAAGTTCGGCGAACGTGGTGGAGGATCGGGGGGGAACGCAGTACCTCTAGGACAGAGGAGGAACTTGAACACAGTCGGGGGAGATGGGGAGATGGAAGAGGACCAGGGAAAAGAGGAGGACCTGTCGCAGTAGGCGAGGCTCGGCGGGTCCGCCATATTCTCTCGGCCACCATTCCCAAACCTATAAAAGAGACACAGCTGATGGAGTCAGAGGATTGTGCTTACAAAAATACACCACTCAGTACCCCCTGTTCATGCAATGTCGATAATCATCTACTCATCTCTTCCACTTCTAGGGATCAACCTAAATCGGACATCTTTATTAATGGAATTAGGCTAACTACGCTCTGGGACACTGGGGCTACATGTTCGTATATAAGCCCTAGAGCAGCGGCGAAGATAGGTGTAGGAAGGAGACGATATCAGGTGAGCGTACCCGTTCACATGTTTGATGGCTCGGTTAGTGTCGCTGGACCTATCACCGAGTTTGTCGAAGTTGGTTTTAGTTTGACGAAGGGCGCCGAAGTGCGATCTGTTCGTCTAGATGTAACAACACTCTGCGATGCAGATGTTGTAATAGGGTGGGATTGGATGAGGAAGGAAGGGGTTGTTCTAGATGGAAGAGACAACTCGATGAAGTTCCCCATCCCAACCCCACCGAGTGCGGCGAAGTTAGCGGCCATAGGGCTGCCAACTCCGACGGACGCGATAGATCTCCGAGACAAAGATGACCAGGATGAACTGAGTCCGGAGGAACAGGGGGAATTGTATCAGGTGGTTCCTGAACAATATCATCCGTTCATTGATGTGTTTAACCCGAGGAAGGGAGGTGAGGAACTACCTCCCTCAAGGGAGTATGATCTGGAATTTGAGCTTAAGGAGGGGGCGAACCTGAAGGTTGCTCCACTCTACTCACTCGGAGAAGATCAGAGAAGTGCGCTGAGAGACATCCTAGATCGCGAAATATCGGCCGGAAGAATCCGACCCAGTAATTCGCCCTACGGATCACCGATGTTCTTGGTACCGAAGAAAGCAAAGGGTCAATGGCGAATGGTCATTGACTACCGAAAGCTAAACGAAGCAACGATACCCGACGCCTATCCACTGCCTCTGATCGGTCAGATAACCGAAGAGCTAGGAAAAGCGAGGTATTTCAGCAAGTTAGATCTGATTGGAGCTTATCAACTCCTACGGGTAAAGGAAGGACACGAACACCTGACGGCGTTCAGAACTCAGTACGGTATGTTCGAGTCTCTTGTTGTTCGAGATGGTCTGCGGAATGCTCCTGCTGTATTCCAGCATTTCCTAAATGAAAGCTTCAGAGAACTGTTGGGGAAAGGAGTAGTTGTCTATATAGATGATATACTCATCTATGGTCAGACGTTGGAAGAATTAAGAGGAACTACGGCGAAGGTATTCGAAGTTCTTCGAAGGTCGAATCTGTTCGTCAAGGCTAGTAAGTGCGAGTTTGAAAAGGACTCGGTAGTCTTCTTGGGTTTTGTGGTCTCACGGGAGGGAGTTTCTAGTAATCCAGAGTACATCGACGCTGTTGTGTCTTTTCCCCGTCCCAAGAACCTAAGAGAGAGCAGAGGATTTATGGGAGTCGTTAGTTATTATCGGCGTTTTGTCCCCAACTTCTCTAGGATTGCTAAACCGATCAATGACCTCACAAGAAAGGATGTACCGTTTGTCTGGGGTATGGAGCAGGAAAGAGCTTTTAAAGAGTTGAAGGATAGAATGTGTAGGGCCCCGGTATTGGCTCACTTTGATCCCTCGTTGAAGACATTACTACAGACAGATGCCTCGTTCTTCGGGTGGGGTTTCATAATATCGCAGGTGAACGAGTTAGGACAAGAACATCCGGTAGCGATCGAGTCAGGAGCGTTTCAAGCGGCGCAGTTAAACTACACGGTAGGCGAGAAGGAACTACTAGCTATCGTTGAGGCTTTCAGAAGAAGGAGACACTTACTGTTACAGGTAGAAACTACAGTTCTCACGGACCACTTGAACTTGACATACTGGATGGAACCGAAGCAGTTAAGCCCGAGGCAGGGCAGGTGGGTCGAAGAGCTTTCTAACTTTAGGTTTAAGATGGTGTATCGACCTGGGAGACAAGCTACACTGCCGGATGGACTATCGAGAAGAGCAGACTACCACTCTGGAAAAGGAAGTACTATGGTGCAGGAGAGCAACCTTATTCAAGGGTTGCCGAAGTTCGACGAACTCGACGGCACTAGCTCTGGGTTACAACACCTACTTCGTGCTTTGCAAGGGACGAAGGAAGTAAGAGAGAGTGACCTTATTAATCCTATGGATTTGGTAGTTGGAATACAGGAAGACGAAGAGGTGGAGGAGGTTAGAGAAGAATTACTGGGGGTAACCTGTGCTAAGTGCTCTCATCTGACATGTCACGATAATGTGCAGGAACCAGAGTCGGTCACCGAACTACGCCGTACCTCGCGGTCCCCCTTAATACTTCGTGGGGGATGGAATTCAAGAGGGTTCCTCACGTTCGATGGTCGAACTTATGTGCCGAACTACGCCGATGCTCGACTAAAGATAATGAAGACGCGGCATGACTCGGTCCTAGCGGGTCACCCAGGCTCAGCGAAGACTCTCGAGCTAGTCCTACGGGACTACGTTTGGGTTGGAGTAAGGAAGGATGTTGAAGATTACATCGCTGGATGTGCGGTGTGTCAGAGAGCAAAGACTAACAGGCAGAGACCCCATGGAGAGCTTAAACCACTGGAAGTGGCTACGAAGCCATGGTCCAGCATTTCGATGGATTTCATTGAAGAGCTCCCGAATTCCCATGGATACAATTCCATCTTAGTAGTGGTGGACCGGTTGACCAAATGGGCCATTTTTATCCTGATTACGACGAAGTTAACCGCAGCTGGCCTATCCGAGTTGATAATGGACTATGTGGTAGCTCAGCATGGGCTACCAGAGAACATAGTGTCTGACAGGGGATCGAAGTTTACCTCGAAATTTTGGAAGAACTTGACCGATAGTCTCGGGATAAGACTACATCTCTCTACTGCATATCATCCGCAGACTGATGGACAGACTGAACGAACCAACCAGTCCTTAGAGCTCTACCTTCGAATCTTCACTTCTTATCAGCAGGACGATTGGTCGAAGCTGCTTGCTCGAGCCAGCTTTGCCTACAACAACACCCATCATTCTGCGATAAATAAGACACCATTTTATGCGAACTATGGGTACCACCCTCGTTGGGCTGAAGAGATAAAGGCTAGCGAGGTCGAAGTGCCCGCTGCTACGGTGGTGGTAAAAGACTTGACTGAAATACACAAAGATTGTATCGAAGGAATTGAGAAAGCTAATGAGAAGTACGCCGAAGGATACAATAGGAAACACCGGACTACGCCGAACTTCGCGGAAGGAGACCTAGTGATGCTGTCGTTAGAGAATATTAAGACGAAGAGACCAATGAAGAAGTTAGATGTTAAGCAAAGTGGGCCGTACAAGGTAGTACGGCAGGTAGGTTCTCATGCTTGTAAATTGGAATTACCAGGAACGATGGCAGGTATCCATGATGTATTCCATGTCTCCTTGCTCCGTCCTTATCACCCTCCAATATTTCCTGGTCAGCAAGCTGAGCCACCTGGGCCAGTAGAAGTAGACAATGTGGGAGAGTCTTGGGAGGTAAAGGATATTGTGGACTCTAGAGTAAATAAGAGGTCAGGAAAGTTAGAGTACTTGGTGGAGTGGTTAGGTTACGAAGGAACAGACGATTCAGTATCATGGGAACCAGTGGAGAACGTCGATGGAGCTGATGACATATTGGCGAAGTTCCACGAACTTCACCCTACTAAGCCGAAGGAAGGGCGCCTGCGAAGGGCTAGGAGATAGAACGTACTGCATACAACATAGGATTACAGCTACGTACCGCTCACTTGTCCTTACTCTTACCCTTACCTTTTCCTTTTCCTTTCTCCTTCGATCTACTCGGTCCCGCGGGATTGGTATGGAGGCTACCGATGACCGAAGGTAGATCGAGAGTCTCAGACGGGAACGCAGTAGAGAGAGAAGCATTCCATGCCCGATTCATAGCCCCGAAGAAGTCACCGAAGTCCTGGACATCTCGAGCAGCTTGCATGCTCGGAGTCCTCCACAGAGAACGTATGGTCCGTAGACACTCGAAGGGAAGACTGAGGAGGTCGAGAGCAGCCTGGGCGGAAGCTGGGACACGAGAACTACTACGGCGACCTAACCAGTCAAGGGACGGTGGTGGCTCATACGCCATAGGAGTGACTAGGAAGGGGGTGTCGAACAATCTTCGGCGAACATCGGCTATCTCAGTAAGGCTTCGGCGAGAGACGTCCGCTAACCTCGTCCTTGCTTCGTCGTCCAGAGCCCCAGTGTTGACTACATCTACTAACGCCGCAGTAAGATTGTTTAAAGCGTTAGCTTGACGAGAAGAGAAGTCAAGCAGGAGAGATGTATCATTTCGGGCGGCCTCAAGCTGGGTAGTGAGACCGAGGACGAGAGAACGATAAGTGGCGAATTCCTTTTCGTCCTCAGGAATACGGACGTCCAGGGAGATACGAGGGTGGACGAGGGACAACCGGGGAGCAGAGGGACCAGCACGCTGAGTATCTTCACCTTCCACATCACCATCATCGAAGGCAACCTCCTTCTCTTTAGATTTCCCTTTTGATTTCTTTAAAGAAGACTTCGGTGTCTTCTGGGAAGCAGAGGGAGGGGTGACGGGAGGGGCCGCCGAAGCGGCCGGAGGAACAGAAGGACGCCGACTTCGGGTGCTGTGAGCCGGAGGAGAAGCTACCACTGGAGAGGACGGACGTGGCGCCGAAGGACGAGAGGCCGAAGGACGGGAGGCCGAAGGAGCAGAGGCCGAAGGACGGCGAGAAGACGAAGGAGGAACAGCCGGGAGACGTGATGGGCCGGCCACAGGAGCGAAGGGCGACGGCGACGGAGGCGACGGGCGGAGGTCCGGCGAAGTACGGCGAACCGACCGGAGAGACGAAGACGGTACCCGCGAACGGGGGACAGACGCTGGAGTCTGGGGAGGGGGGAGAGGAGAAGCGTCGAAGGGACGGGGCGGGATGTCCCGGGCAGAGGAAACGGGACAGAAGGAGCAGGGGCCAGACGTGCATGAAGCACACACTTGAGACAGGG